GTCTGGCACCGCCTTCCGGGTCTCCCCGGCCTCGCCCTCCCGGGTCCCGGTCCCCACCCCTGCACCTCCCTCCTCTCGGTGCCCTGGGACTGCGCCTCCCTACCGGCCGGCGCCGCCGCTCTCCACGCCCCCGCCCGCAGCGCCTGGAAGCTGGGGAGAGCGGGACGGGGGCGGGGCTCGGAGCGCCCACATGGGGGGCAGGGTGCGCGGAGTGTGCCTCCGGTGGTGCGGAACGTGCGGGGTGCGCGGGGTGCGCGGTTTTCGGTGTGCGGTGGTGGATCGGAGGGGTTAGAGATGGGGTGTGCACGCGTGTTGTGAAGGAGTGTGAGTGCGCGCCGCGTGGGTACGAGGGGTGTGTATGGGGTGTGTGCATGTAGGTGTGGGATGTGTCGCGTGCGCGCGCTGAGTACCGAGTCACCAGGCCGGTATGGGGCGAAATCTTGGGTAGAACCTCGGGGGGTGGGTTTGCATTTGGGTCTAGCCCGGTCTCCAGAGCAGGCAGATTTCGGCAGACGCAACGCAGATGAATTAACTGACAAGTCGCCTCCTCCCAAACCGGCGCACACGAGGACCCAGGACGCAAGGGCGGCCAAGCTGGCCCTGACCCGGCAGCCCCTCGCGCTGTGACTCATGCAGCCTGCGCCGCGTGGGGGCCGCGCTGGCTGCGCGCACTGCCGTGTCGTGGGGAGCACGGCGCTGGAGCAGGGCGAGGGCCCCTGCTGGCCTCGCCGAGCGCCTCCCTGAGGGGCGCAAGGGCTCCTTGGCCCCCGACCGCCGCATCCACTCCGGATCTGGGAGTCCTAGTGGTCTCGCTGCATTTGTAGCCGAGCGAAGATCTTGGCACCGCGGGCCCCGGCCCCGCGCGTGCATGATGACTTGTCGGATCGCGGGGACAGGGTCCTGCCTCCGTGAGCGCGCGTGTGAGCCAGCTTGTGTGCGGGTCGCGGCGCCCACGCGCGGACCTCCGGAGCTGCCTTCTGAGGATCGTGGTTATTTCGGTTTCCAGGGAAACGAGGTTCGCAACCGCCGCCAGTGCAAGATCCGCCTCTCTTCTGCACTCCGACGCTGGGATGCACGCGGCGCTACCTCCGCTGCGCCCCGGGGCAACGCGGGACAGGAAGGGTCCCATAGTCAGGGCCGCAGAAGCTCCCCACCTCGGTCCTGCGGGGTTTCCAGCCTCCCTATCGCTACCTTCTCCAGTCGCCCTCTGCCTGGGCCTTTGCGCAGGCCCCTTGCTCCTGGGGTTGTCCCCAGTCCCCTCCAGGATCTCACATGGCACCCGCTCTTGTTGCTCAGATTTTAGCTTCATCCCACTAATAGCTTCCGTTTTGTCGGCGCGCTTTCTTCTGTTGCCACCCTGAGGGTTTTACAGGACTTTCTAATTCACCCCTTGCAACAAATCCCGAGGTAGGTGCCTGTTATCCTCCGAGGGCTTTCAATGACCAGAGGCGCCGCAGACGCTCTGCGCACAGCCTTCAAGCTCCCCAATCCCAAGCTCCCCAATCCCCCACCCCATAATGGGGCTTTCCTTGTGGTCAAACTCTGTCTCCCCCAGGCTGGGATTTGGGAGAAGGGCTGTTCTCAGCCACCCGACTGGTGCTCAGCTCACCGGGCTCCAGGACATGGGACCAGTAGGAAAAGCCGTCTCCAGGACAGCTGTAAGGATCGGCCTGCTTCGCTCCCGAGGCTCAGGGCCAGGCGCCATTGTGCAAGAAAGCCCCACCTCATGGACGGGAGGGGCCCACATAGTCGGGAGCTTTGCTGGTGGAGGCCACCAGCAGCAGGTGCCCAGCTGAGCCAGGAGGCCATTCATCCTGAGCAAGGGGACACCCACGGCAGGAGGGGGCGCTGGTGAGTGCAGCAGGGGCCGCTGAGACTGTGGCATTCATCACAGGTTTGCCTGCCGCCGACCCAGCCTGAATAGAAAGGTCGGCAGGCCCTCAGTACAGAACATTGCGAAAAAGGAGAGGCCAGCCCCGTTGTCCTTGCACACAGCGTTCTCCTAGGGAGTCTGTCACAATCACTAAGTGCCCCTCAAGTGCCCCTCACTCACAGCCATGACCTCCACACTTGGAGCTGATTTCTGACACCTAAAGCCAAGTGGGGGTTGGAACAGCCATGAGCAACTTAAAATCTGACGGCATTGCTTTCAAGATCTTCCCCCCAGGCCACAGCCGGGCTCACACAGGAACACTCTCCGTTCCCTACCACACTGTGGCGCCATCCCCCACATTTCCTCAGCCTGCTATGTGGGAGGGAGGATCTGTCCAGTGCTTTGGGGGCCTCAGGGATCGGGGGAAAGAACCCACTCTGGACTTGGGAAAGAGGAATCACTTTAAAATCAGAGGTCTCACTTCTGCAGAATAGCTTCACACACAGCCTTGGGTGGCCCTGGTGGTTACTCCATATTAAAGCAAGAGTGTTTAAAAACAATTATGTGAAGTGTTTTTTTATTATAAGAGTAATCATATACTAAGGATTTTCCCTATCACCTTTAAATCTTATTTTAATATTTTCATATTTGTTAGCATTTAAAATTCAATTTCCTACATTATTGACTTCTATTAATTTGGGTAATTCTAATTATTTTTCTAATCTATCAATTAACTTTTTAGCTTTTTTAATCTTTTTTCTTTGGTGCAGGGAATGGAACTCAGGACCCTGTATGTGCCAGACCATCCTTTATTTTTTAACTGTCTTCATCCATTTTCTGTTGATATAACTGAATGCTGCAGACTGCGAAGTTTATAAAGAATAATGGTCTATTTGGTTGATAGTTCTGGAAGCCGAAGTCCAGGAACCTGGAGCTGGGTCTACTAGCATTAGTGAGGTCCTTTTCTGGACCATGCCTTGGCCAAGGCCTCACACGCTGCCCAAGAGATCCCTCTCATACCAGCACTGCTCTTGAGCACCCCTGGAACCTCCCATCCATTAACCCACACGTGAACCTTCAGGACCTTCAAGAGGCAATCGCAGAGGTCCCCTCCCTAGCCCACGATCGGCACAGAACTTTGGGGATGAGCTTCCAGCACATGGATCCTGGGGGACAAGCATTTAAAACACCGCACCGACCAGATAGCCAAGATGCTCTTTCATTATTAACCCTTACTCTTTCTTCCAGGAATAGCCACTATTGATCTGTCACTTGCAGATGCTCTTGGCTTCCCTGGCAACTGCACCCTGGTGAGTCATCCAGAGAGCTCTCATGAAACCAAGCAGTAGTGTTTCATAGACTCAATGATGTACTTTATTATTTCAAAAGCTTTGTCTTATGCAGTATTAGAGATCCACAAAAATCATGAAATATACATGTAGCTGCATAATAACTTATAAATGAGCACCTGCCTCCCTGCACCCACCCAAGAAACATCACGGTAGCGGAGTACCAGCCTATTGCTGCCACAGCCACTCCCTGCTGCCAAGGCACCTCCCGCTCCATCTGAAGTCAACTCCTGCGCTCACAGGCATCTTTATTGACAAGGCACAGATTTCTACCATGCTTTGGTCTTGCCTGTTTTTGAACTTCGTATAAACAGAATCACAGAGTATGATGTGCACATCTGGCTTCCTTTGTTTGACTTCATGTTTGTGAAATGTGCTCATGTTGCTGCATGCAGCCGGTGCTTACTCTTCGTTGGCTACAAGTCCATTGTATAAGATGTCACAGCTGCTTTGCCCATTTCATTGATGATACGTGCCTGCCTTCAGATTGGGAATATTATGAACTCTGTGTGCCCTGAAACTCTTGGGCATACATTTTTGGGTGTGTGCCTAAGCGGGCAATTGCTGAGTATTAGAAATACCTATCTTTGCTTTTGTGTCCTTCTGTATTGAGATGCAGTTTATGCTCCCGGGTTTTAAGAGTGCCACTTTGTGAGTTTGGAGGTGGGGTGCCTCACCACCGCCTCAGAGAGCATGACCTTCCCCAAGAGCCCCCTTGGAGGCCACCCCTTCTCCTCGGCCCATGCAGCCTCCATCTGCCACTCATGACTGTGGCTTTAATTTAGCATTTTGTGTGCATAGATGCCACGGTCTGGCCACA